TTTTGAGTCTTTGGAAACGTGCTCAAATTAGCAGCTTGGCTTAGATCTGTCTGGTTTTCACTTTGGGTCTTTGATTTATCATCCTGCTGCTAAACTGCTATAAAGAATTTGGAATAAGATCAATTCTGTTCAGCTTTAGCATTCCTAACATATCCAGGAATCATTTGCTTTTAATTACCACTCAGTTCAACCATATTAGTAGTATAAATGTGGCTTCCACATCCAATTCTGCAGCTTTATCAACTTAAAAATCTTCAAGGTTCTCTTATTTTTCATAGATGCCTTAATTATTTTAGCTGTGTTTTTATATTTTAAAATAATAATAAAGAGGAAATGAAACAAGCCTTGCCAGACAGATTCTGTACAATACACCTGATTCACTTCAGAGGTGATTTCCTCACCCAGCACACTATGTGACCATAAAAGCCTTAAAAAAAACAAGTTGATTTAATGTTTCTGTTTATGCACGGTGTCCAGTTTCCAGAAGAGTCTGAGACTAGTGGTTTTGAACTCAATTAAGCATTTAAGCTCATTTTCAGCTGAGTCCCCGTGGACTGACAATTAGAAAAGGAAAGAAGTTCAAAGGAGAAAGGTTATAACCTCATAGCTCTATATTTTGTGTGGTCTCAAAATGCATCCTATGCTTTCATCCTTCATATATTTAGGAAAGCCATTACAACCTATAGCTAAGTTACACATGGGGTCAAACTGCACATGATGTTCAGGTGTGTAAATGTTTCTTTGAGAGTTGTTGTTGCTTTACCCAACGCAGTTGTGAGAAGCTGTAAACTGATGTGGAAGTTTGCACTGGAGGACATCTCTTTCCATAGTAGATATTTTTCCTTTCCAAATTGTTCTCTGCAAGCTCTTTGACACCCAAGAGGGGAATATACAAATGCAAATATCTTCTCATCCATGGCATCCCCCCCCAAAAAAAAACACACTTGGGGGCAAATTATTATTATTACAACAATTTAAAAATAAATTACAGTAACATGACTAGGGTGGGTAATAAAAAGATGTCACAGGCAGCAAAGACCAATGTCTTCAGCATAAAACATAAACTATACATTGAAGGTGTCAGACACACTTCTGTAGGGAGGAAATTATGTAATTTAGGGCCTGCCACAGAGAATGCCCTCTGCTGGGTCACCCCCATCGCCAAGTGAGGGTGGCCCACATCCACTGATCTGAACATCCAAAATGTTCTGTAGGAAATGAAGCAGTCTTTCAAATATTTAGAACCTACATCATTTAACATTCTAAATACTAATGTATTTAGGCCCCAAAACTAACTGGTGACTAATGCAGCTGTTTTAAACATATATGAGTTTAAACATGATATCGGTTCTAAACAGAACTCCAGCCAGAAGCTGAAGAAGATTAGACTGCTGTGGAAGTGATATGCTCCCCACTTGGTTTTGGGTTAAATAAAGCTCCCCCCACAAAAAAACCCACAGGGGAAACCAAAGTATTATAGTCCCATAGACATGTAGAAAGTATTATAGTCATGTATATTCATGTCTGCATTAAAATCAGTATCTGCATCGGGACCCCACTGGAAACAGAATGCTTGTCAAGATGGACCTGGTCTGACCAGCCAGGACTTTGAACAGAAGAATACAAAATGTAAAACAGTATTTAAAAGTATTCTGTTGAAAAATAGATTGCATTTCTCTTGCTGACATTCCTTCCTAACTGACAGAAGAAATCTATTTCACCACAGATACGTAAATATTTTGCATGTCCATTCAATGGTGCTTTATTAAGTAATTATGCGAAACTGGTTACAAGCACGGTCACTGCTGCAAAAAAATAATTGAAAAATAAAGAAGAATTCTTAAGCTAGAATTGACCCAAAACTTTTCTTCTGGAACTAATTGATGACAGCTAAAGTCTCGAATGTGGTTCCAATTGCTATAGGCATTCCTTTGAGATGCCATCAGAAGAGATGTGCAGACAGCCCCACTGCAAAACTGCAGCACTCTGCTTCAATCCCTCTTTCCCTCTCTCCATTCCTCAGATTTACACATGATTTGCTAATGACTTGTTTCTCTCCTAATGCTCTAAACTATAACCCCTGCTCTTTTGTTGTGGCTATATCACCCCCATTCTATTTCCCAGCAATGCTTTCTTTGCCTACCTTCTCAGCAACATTTGCTTTCTGCAGTAGAAGTCTCCACTCCCATCGTTCAGCCCGGACACTGAGGTCCAGCGCCGAGGACCTTCTGGCAGTTCCCTCACTGCAAGGTTACAGGGAACAAAGCAGAGGGCCTTCTCGGTAGTGGTACCCACCCTGTGGAATGCCCTCCTATCAGATGTCAAGGAAATAAACAACTACTGTATCTGACTTTTAGAAGACATCTGAAGGCAAACCTGTTTAAAGGAAAAGGGACCCCTGACCATTAGGTCCAGTCGTGACCGACTCTGGGGTTGCAGCGCTCATCTCGCTTTATTGGCCGAGGGAGCCGGCGTTTGTCCGCAGACAGCTTCCAGGTCATGTGGCCAGCATGACTAAGCCGCTTCTGGCGTACCAGAGCAGCACACGGAAACGCTGTTTACCTTCCCACCGGAGCGGTACCTATTTATCTACTTGCACTTGGACGTGCTTTCAAACTGCTAGGTTGGCAGGAGCAGGGACTGAGCAACGGGAGCTCACCCCGTTGCGGGGATTCGAACCGCCGACCTTCTGATTGGCAAGTCCTAGGCTCTGTGGTTTAACCCATAGCGCCACCCACGTCCCCCAACCCTGTTTTGGGAAGTTTTTAATGTTTGAAGTTTTATTGTGTTTTTTATATTCTGTTGGAAGCTACCAAGAGTGGCTGGCGAAACCCAGACAGATGGGCGGGGTATAAATAAATAATTATTGTTATTGTTATTAATCTTTTGTTCTGGCTTCAATTTTCGAGAGATATCATGGCACATATCAAAACCGTTACTTCTAGAGGTACAGAGGTACCTCAGGCAACAAACAACAACAGGAAGACAAAAGGGAATGACTTATTTGAATTCAACTAGCAGAGAGGTGATGTATCTAAACCATGAAGTATGAAACGGTCATTTGCAAACTTGGACAGATAGAAATATTATCCAGAGTCTGTGTTCCTTGATTTTTATTCCCTCCAATCTTGATCAGGACATTGGAGGCTAGACCTTAGTGGCATGGTTCTCACTCCAGGACAACTATCATATCAGCAATTCCAAAGACAATTCTTATGTCCTTCTGTTATACCCAGTTTCATCTTTATGACAAAAGGAAGTTGCAGGTGCTAGTGTTAGGCTTATCTCACTGTGAACCATTATGCACTTAATGGCTGCAACCTCAAAAACCATGAAAAAAAGAGCTACTGCTCACTAGTTCATTTTATTATCTGGACCCAATGCATTCTGGCTTCCGGCCCACCTTGGCACCAAAACACCTTTAGTTGCCCTGGTTGCTGACCTTTATTGGGAAATAGGGGAATGTGACCCTGTTGCTTCTCCTTGATCGCTTGGAAGCTTCGAATACCACTGATCGTGGAAAAGCTCTATGGGTTGGGAGTTGAACGGTATGGTGGTTCCACGCTTAGCTGCAGGGTTATTCTGAGAGATATGCATTTGGGGGATTCCTACTCAGGCCCTTATCAATGTGGGGTCTCACAGGGTTCATGCTTTTTAACATATGAGGCTGATGGGTGAGGTCATTGGGGGAATTTGGGGCATGGTGTCATCCCTATGCAGATGATTCCCAGGTCTATTTCTCCTTACCATCTGAATCAGGTAAATCTGGGCAGGTGTTTAACAGATGCCTGAAGGTTGTAATGGGGTGAATGAATCCCAGCAAGATGGACATTCTGTTGGTGGGTGATTGTGTCCAGGAATTGTGTTCTAGATAGGGTTGCACTCTCTCTGAAGGAAAGGTATGTAGCATAGGGATACCATTTTGTCATTTGAGGCTCAGGTAGCATGGAGTGCCTTTTTCCAGTTCCCCCTTGTTTGTAAGGTAGAACCATTCCCAGATTGGAATAAACTGGCCACAATAATCCATGCGCTGGTAACCTCGATTAGATTATTGTAATGCATTCCAGGTGGGGGCTATCTTTAAAGATGGTCCACAAGCTGCCAGAGTTCTGAATGAAGCAGTTGACTGGATTTTAAATGAACAGGTAAATAATATACTATGAATTTGGTAGCATAAAATATGAAGAATATAAATTAGTAAAAATCTTAGTGGATGTACACTGAATCTGCAAGTGCTCAAAAGCGATGAATTAGGTAAAGTTTTATTTGCTTCTTTTTATCAGGATTTTAATGAGCGTCTGTAGACCACACAACTGTGTTGTGACCTTAAGCTACTTTTACCTGACCTGCAGATATACAAGATTTCTAGTAAAACATAAAAGCAAAGCAAAATAGCCTCTGAGATGGTTGGCTGGTCGGCTGGAATAGTTTCCAGACATTCAAGAAAAATTGAATATATTCTATTATTATCAGGAACATTTCAAAGTGCATGGAAGCTTGGAAGGGCACAGGCTAAGGAAAAAGATGGGAACTTTATTACTTAAGAATCTGTTTGCCACAACAATACTTAGAAACATATTGAAGTGTTAACAACAAGATACTATAGTTTGGTTAAAGGAGGAAGTACAGCTTAGAAAGACAAAAGACGTAATACAGGGGTTGGGAAGCTCTGGCCCTTGAGCCCTAGGCAAGCTAATGTAGCCTGTTGGGCAGTTTTGCCATGTCCACCTGTCACTCACATGACATTGTATGATGTCAGGTGCAGGTCATGTAAAGCTGCGGCTCTCAAAAAAAATTGGGATGCAAGTCATAAAGAAGCAGCAGTAATAAGGGATGTGAGAGGGCATTGGGCAAAAGCTGTGAAGGAAATAAGACTCATGCTTGTGGCATATGAAGATCTTTGCATGAGAGTTTTTGGCTTAGGTATTTGGGGCATTTCCTGCAATAAAGCGATACTCTTTGCATGTGCCTTGGAACTGAAAACCGAAATGTTCACATACCTTAGCATTTTGAAGAGGGGGTTGGTAACTGGATGGACGATAATACATCCTCTGAGAAGGATCAGTGTGTATGTCTCCAAGAAATAGCTCCTCGACCAGGTGATCTAAATTATGGTGAAGGTACTGTTTCTCTACACGGATTAGTTGAAGCTCATGCATAGCAAAATTCAGTGCTCTGGTGCATTCGTAGCCATTCTCTTCTCTCCATAAATCGTAGCTCACATTCTGCTCCCAGGCTTTATCTTCTCGTACAAATCCAGGGCATGTGCGGTTCACCAACTGACTTAGTCTCTCAGCCACTGCCTCACTATGGCAGATTATCTGTATGTTGTGCAGCTGGTAATCTGCTTCAGTCCCTCCTCGAATGATCCAGGATGCTTGGCGAAGGCGAATTTTGCCACGGATAACTAAGGTATAGATTGGGTTTGTGCATCGGTTACCTCTGTAGTAAAACTGATAGGCCTTGAATGTATTATTGTGGTAGAATCTGTAGGATCTAGTGATGAATTCTGGGCCCGACCTTACTTCACAACTGTAACCAAATTGCAAATAAAAGCATAAGCTTAATGAGGTGTGAAATATCAAAGTAGTCAATAAGAAGATGACAGCACTAATAACACATTTAATTAACACCACAATATTCGCAATAGTGAACCAAAATAGTAATTTTTCTCATCTTCCTTTATTTAACATTAGGTTTCTGGTTTCATTTTTTAAAAGACATTTTAAAAGGTGTATTAGTTCTATGCTGCATTTGATATTTTTATTTTCATTTTATTGCTGACTTCCTCTTTTCTCCACATTTAGTGTACCAAGTACTTAGAATTGTAAAGGTAAAGGTAAAGTGACCCCTGACCATTAGGTCCAGTTGCGGACGACTTTGGGGTTGCAATGCTCATCTCACTTTACTGGCCGAGGGAGCCAGCATACAGCTTCCGGGTCATGTGGCCAGCATGACTAAGCCACTTCTGGAGAACCAGAGCAGCGCCTGGAAATGCTGTTTACCTTCCCACCAGAGCGGTACCTGTTTATCTACTTGCACTTTGACGTGCTTTCGAACTGCTAGGTTGGCAGGAGCAGGGACCGAGCAACAGCTCACCCCATCATGGGGATTCAAACCACCGACCTTCTGACTGGCAAGCCCTAGGCTCTGTGGTTTAGACCACAGTGCCACCTGCATCCCTACTTAGAATTGTAGGCAACTCTATTCCAAGTGCTGTCAAGGAAGACATAGATTTCCCCCTACAATACTATTATCTGTTCACTTTTGCCACCAGGCAGGCAGTGGTGGATCAAATGCTACTGCTGGCAGTGGCCAGAGTAAGGCCCTGAAATAGAGCATTATGGGTGTGAGGCAGTGAAGGGTTAGCCATGGAGCTGCTGAGCCCCAGGCTGTTCCAGGCCCCCCCCCACCAGCCTGCAGCTGGAACAACAGAAAACAATGGAACCAGTCCCCCCGGCTGGCATGAGCTGGCAGTGCTTCAGATATGACAGCTGTTTTGATGCTCCTGGCCAGGGTTTAGAATTGCTTTGCCTATCATGCTTAGAGTAGACCCATTGAAATCAATGGCACTTAAGGTGACTTCAGTGACTCTACCCTAAGCGTGAACATGTCTGGATTCAACTTAACGTGTTTTTTTCCTTCTTCAGTTTTTCTTAAATATGTATATCTAACATGAATAAGCTTCTGTCGAAGCCTCTAGACCTGAAGATAAATATTCTCATAAGCTCAATAGCTTTTCAATGAGCCCCTTCCTGTTTTATTTCTGTGTGACAATGCAATTATGTTTCTTAAGAGATAGGCAACACTTTTAATATATTTCTACTTCCATGGTGATAAAATCAACAAGGAAAAGGAATGACCACACCTGCCTGGCTTCAGGCAAGCAAAGTAATAAACAGGCTTTAATGTGTTTATAAAATAAACCCAAACTAGAACATCTGAAATATTTGTGTAAGGCTTATAGTTGCTTTAAAAAAAAACGGTTTTTAAGCTGAGCTCTTCCTAGTCTGCTTGCTTTCTGCAAGTACAACAGACCCCTCCTAAGTGATGGGAGCCCAACTTCTTCTCCCTGACTTTCCAGTGATATCTGTGGTGGATTTGAGTGAGGATTACTGCTTACTCAAACACTATTTTTATTAACTTCAGTGATGGCTTTGCCTGAATAAGGACTGCAGGACTGGGCTTGAAGGGAATCTTATATCCCAAGGAGCCTTCCTAAGAAAATAATTGCGAGTACACAGCTGTATATTTGCAAGCTGAGACTACAAAATAAATACCTCTGCCTAACTGAATGTTTGTGATCTCAGATAAGCACTTGTGCATGCTTGGGCTCGTCAGCTAAAGCTTCATAATTTCATTTTGTTAATGAACTTTGTTTTATACACATGTCACATGATACAGCAATAAAGGCAAGGATTTATTCACTCGCCCTTGCAAGCGGTCTGAATAAGCAGATGACATATGAACATCCTATGAATAGGCTGGCAATTTTCAACAACACTGTGGTTTCCAAAGTAAGGAAGACTGAAACGCCTTACTGTTTAAAATACGGACAATAGCCACAAAATTCTGAAGGCTCACTTTTGTGGGCAGAAAAGCTTCTGTGTCCATAGGAGAAGTTTTCAGCTTTCCTCTCAATAGCAGACCCCCCGCTACAATATAAACTGCTTTAGAAGCATTTTTTAGTTTAGGGAGGCTGCTATATTGAAAGAGAAAGAAAAGACAAAAGCTCACTGTGTACATTAAACTAGCTGTGAGTTTAAGTGGATTATAGCCTACCAAAATATTAACAAAGCTGTACAGTATGGTGTCCTACTTTTCTATGTAGCTAAAGTACTTGCCTCCTGACATTAATGTCTACCGAAGCATTTTAGCATGTTTTCTATATAGTATCATCATCGTGTTTGTCGGCAGTCTTACCCGGTGGAGACCCAGTGTCCCTCGATAGTAGGAGGCATTTGCACAGTAATTCGGGCTCCATTATGAAGATGTTTCAGCATGTGAGGACACTGTGACTCCTTGAAAGTTCTCCACGCGCTCTTCTCTAAGGATCGAGGGTGTGACCTGCTGTCTGGATGAAGAAGTGCAGAACCTTCTCCCAGCCCTGTGAGAAATCAGAGATGGCATAAGAAATAAATTCTGGTGAATTTGGAGAACTAAAACTGTTTGCATATAATGACTACAAATAGCTTTGCTTGCTAGTAATCTTCAGATGTGAAAGACTCCTTTCATGAATGGGCTTTGTACATTTGATGTATTTAGGGTAGAGTCCCACATTATGTTCCTGTGCATAAGCACTCAAGTGGGAGGATCAGTGTATTTTATTATATAAAAAAGACATGGAAATTGAAAGCATGTAGAATAGCTTCCTACTCACAGTGGAATATATACAACCATATATCTAAGAGACAACTTCATGCAAGCGAAAATGCTTTATTTGTTGCCACAGATACTTACTTTATTTTTTTAACAGTTGTATTTTTTTAAAACAACAACAACAAACACACTCTAGGATTATCAATAACAGCATTCTGTTTATCATTTCAGAAGGCGTCAAACTCCCCCCACCCTTCCTCTTCAGACTTCTTTACTAAACAAAGTCCCCAACTGACCTCAATTGGCCATTAATTTACTGAACAGCCAGGTCCTACATCTTTCTATACCATTTCTTTAGTTTCAGAATTTGTTTCATGATCTAAAATTGTTGGAAATCTAATTTAATATGCCAGATTTAATGTATACATATGATTTTTAATACATGAAAGAATCAGACAAAGACATGGTATTTGCATATAGGTGAATTTCTGCATTAAATATACTGAGGCTGCAATCCTGAATGCACCCACTAGTGAATAAGCCTCACTGAACACACTGGTCATGTTCAGACACTGCACTAAACCGTAGCTTAGCATAACATCAGTGAGCCATGGGTTCATGTGCTTCTTTGCTCTCCTGCACCACAAGGGAACCATATGCTGTTTTGTCCAAATTAGCATTAATAAACATTAACTACGATTTGTTCAAAACAATGTTAATGTTAACCAGCTTATCAGTTCAAAGCCAGGAGCAAATACTTCCTTACTTCTCCTTCCAGCTGTGTCAGAGAAGGATAGCAGAGAGCACATGAGCACAATGATTGCTCTGGCTTGTTTACATCACACTAAACTATAACATCTGCACTGGGCTCTAGACCTTACTTCTGAGTAACCATGCATAGGATGCCTCTGTAAGACTGTTAGTTAATATTTCCACCAGGGTGAATTAAGACTTGCTCCATTTGGTACAATGGCTCAATAAACTGAGTTCTTGTGAAACCTGTAAACATTAACTCCGATATTACAATATAAATACAATTTATTTTGTGTAGCAAATGTTTCAAGTGAAACTTATCAGCTTTTGAAAGTTTCCAGCAAATAAAACACAATTTATTTAAACGAGAAGCCTTTGTTTATCTAATCAATTCCCCTAAACAAATATATAGATATATATTAATGTGGGAAACAGCTAGATAAGCTCACCACTACCGATCCTAATACACTGCAAAAAAAAAAAAAAAAGAGGATTACATTGGAGATTATTATTTCTAACACTGCCAAGCAGATGTTTCTGTTAGTAGCTCTGCTTTAGTCACTCTGGACATCAAAAGGATTAAAGTCTTGGAAAATTGCCAAATTCATTAAGCAGGGAAGTCTAGGCCTCAGCAGAATACTGGCAGCACTGTAAAAGGTAATGATTATATATGCTTGTACAACCAGTGTCTATAGATCACATTGGGGTGCTGTAGCACACTGCTGCAAACTCAGTGTGACAGAGAAGATAATTAAGCTTGGGGCACAGTTTGCCATTTCCCCTAACAATGGGGTCTCCAGGAATCAGATGGCAGGATTTGTCCCTTTAACCGTGTTTCTGACTTTTCTGAGTCTTTCAGCAGGAGCCATTCACTTTTATGAAAGAAAGATGGCTCCCATTCAAGTCTGCACTTCTGGTTCTTGATGGTGGACTGGCAGCCAGGCACACAGCATGTACTTCATTGTTGGCAAAGATCAGGTACAAATGCACATCCAGATGTGTGTTTTTTGCATGTGATTCCCCAAAGGTGCTGTAAATCACTGGATCTTTTTATACTGGTGAGAACATACCCATTATTTGAAGCACTGCAAGCAATTTTTATTACCCATGAATCCATTGCCAATGATATGCAGCATCGCGATGTGCTCAACTTTGGATTTGACCCAAGCTGGTCAACAGCATTCAGTACTGCATACACACATGTAATATTAATGTGAGAATTATATTTAGATCTACCTAGGCTACGAAAGTAATTGACAGAATTTATGGGGGGGCGGTTAATCAACTTTATTTATTGGATTTCTTACCTGTCGTTAACCAAAAGGCCCCAGGGCAAGTTATAATATAAAAATATAATATTAAAATCAGTTAAAACAATTTGCAATCAGAAGTAGATCTTAAAAATTCTTAGGTGTAAATGTTTGAGTAAAAATATCCTCCCAAGATTTAAACAGTGTGTATGGAAATATTTTAAATGAATGTATGTATCAAAACTTTTTCAAGACCTACACTCCCAGCACTTAATTAATGAGAACATACATTCTGAAAGAGGGGGTTAAATTTGTTTAGTTAATAAGGAGGCAGGTTTATAATAACCCAAGTAACATATTGCAAAGGAGAAATTAGAATATTTCATAACAGATAAATGTGAAAAAGAAAATGAATTTTAACTCATCAAAGGGAATAGTTTTTGAGCCTGTAATTATGCCTTTTAATCTAATCTACCACAGATTTCCATTTTCAAAATTAACAGATGGAAAGAAACAATATCAAACCACGGTTCAAGTGGGATCCCTAGTTTAATAAATGCATGTGATAAATGTAGAACAGTATTGGTCCAAGTCCTAATTCTTAATATTGGCTACATTTTTCACCTATTGGGGAAAGGAGTGGAGTCCTGTTGCTAATTAAATCACATAGAGAACTTTTTGTGATAGAGCAACCTATAAATGCTGTAAACTAAATATTTAAAAAATCATAACAACAAAAATATAAATACTTCAGGGCGGGTATGTCTCTTCAAATAATTTGCGATATCTGAGGTGAAAAAATAACATTTTAAAACTGAATTAGCTAAATTGTTTTGAATCCACCTTTACTGCCCATCTTGTTAATCAGAGTTGCTGGAGCAGAATGATTTTAGCATTTGACATCTGAAACATTTGTGGCTTTTTGTATAAGCAGAGCAAACCACGATAATGGACAAGTTCCAGCTGCAAACCTCTTTTGACATACAACAGGTTTTATTTTGATTAATGAACACAAGGAGGATTTTTAAAAAGGCTATTCCTGTGTTGTTGAGATACATTTATGAAGCAATATTAGCATGGATCTGAATCCTGAATTGCATTTTACTTTTATATTTCCATTTGATAAGCAACCAAACTTGACTTCAAAAAGGTGTGTTAGAATTTTATTGCCTATTTATGTAAACACATTTAATATACCTCTGGATTGCCAGATGCTGTCCAGCTGGCTGAGATACAGCTATGTGATATTTTGGCAGCATTTCTTTTCAGTTATTGTTTGGCTAGCTGCTGATGAATGTTAAGGGGTGGTTAAGGGGTTAGTGTGGTTAAACTGAGTAAGAGTCAATTCACAACAGTGTGGCCCAAAAGGCCAATTCCATTTCAGCTTGTTTTAGCAGAAGCAATATATCAAATAGTGGAAAATAATATTAGCGTTATGCATCAGTGATATATTAAATCTGTCTGGGACATTCTATTCAGTTTTTGAGCACTGGTTTTCATGGATGCTGATGAATTGTAAAGGGGTGGGAAACCTGTGGCCTTCCAGATGTTACTGGACATCAAATCCCCCAAGCTCCAGCCAGCATGGTAAACAAACAGGTATGGTGGGAGATGTGATCCAGCAACACCTGGAGGGCTTCAGGTTCCCTACCCTGCCATCAAGGATTCAGAAGATAACAGAGGAAGAAATATGCAAAAGAAGTCATAAAAGGAAAGGACAATGAGGTACATGCTTAGAACTGAGATAAGACTATCTAGATAGGTCTATCTAGGCCACTAACTTATTTTTAATAGCAGCCAGTTTAATGCTATCAAAAATCCCACATGCAGAGTAGAAGAGCAATAACTCTTCCTGGTGTTTTTGCTGGCAAGCAGCTGTTATTCAAAGATGAATTGCCTTTGGGAACAAACGTTCCATGTAGCAAGGTATCTAACGCCCATTGATAGACCTACCTTCCTTGAATTCATCTAATCGTCTTGAAAGCCATTTAAGCCAGTGGCCATCACTATACCCCATGGCAGTGAATTCCAAAAGTTAATTTATACATCATGTGAAGTACTTTCTCTTCACTATCCTGAATAAATTTTACTGGGTAGCCACAAGTTCTAGAATTACACAGGAAAATTAAAAAAGTTGTGCTTGTGCTTGTTTAATTTATAGCCCATCTATCCAACAAAGTCTGTAGTAGTCGTAATGTCAAAAAACAAACAAAAAAACACACAACCCCAGTATAAAGTATTATACAAATCTGCACCACAATCATAATTGTTGCTGAATCCTACAGATTCTTATTCATGAACAAGTTCCTGATAGGAACAGAACATTTTCATTAAGCATGTTTAGGAGTTAAGATGCACTGAAAAAAGCTACAAGTCCAAGTATTGAATCCAACTGTCTATTCATATGGTTTTCCACATCAGCTCTCCATCCCTGTGTTGTTAATCAGTGACTATGGCCTGAACAAGTTAATTTTCTCTCCTCTCCTTTTTCTTTTTAATGTTCCCATCTGATGACACTATAGTGTGTGTGGTGTGTGTGTGTGTGTGTGTGTGTGTGTGTGCATGCAGACAAGGCTCCCCATTTCAACTTCTCTTGGCAGCGGCTTGTTTGATCTGACTATTGGCCTTGATTTGTTTCACATTTCAGCCAAAGTTTAAAACAGCTGGGTAATTCCAAGCAGATGAGCCTGAGAGTCTAACCCTATAATTATACCTTCTCTCCTTACTTAGCCTCTAACTTCAAACCTTCCGTTTTGACTTCTAGACGCCCAGATCACAGAATTTTAAAGTGCACCTTGGCGTCCATGCAGGTCTGTCTCAACCAGACATATTTATACAGTCTATATATTTTGTAGTTTGAGTTGAAGGGGAAGAATAAAAAAAACCCTTTGATGAGCAAGTCTTCTGTCTATAAAAGCAAAAGATACACAGAATGCTTATGATCTTTATTATTTACTATGTGGCATTTATGTACTTTGCGTTGTCTGAATAAAGGGGAAGATGTAATTCCTGTGTTCCAAAAACTATAGCAATGACCATTTGGGATTTTAGACATCAATAGTGCATAAAATTAGGCATGTAACTTAGTAAGGTATCTAAATAATGCAGAGTTTGCTTTTCAGATATGCTTACTCTCCACAGCTGCCACTGATGATTGCTCAGCATGTTTGAAAATTCAGCAATGGAGTTCAGTGCTGGGGTCATATCTGCCTAAGTGTCACTTCATCTCCTATTGGATGGTTATCCAGCAGTGAAGAGTAAGTCTCCCAATAAACATTTTTGAAGTGTTCAAAGACCACTTAGAAGGAAATGCTACATACTTTATAGTAGCTCTGGACTAGGTATTAAAACTTGAATATTGTGTCAATGGAAGAACACGTTTTTCTAGGAAAGAGCATGGTTCCTACAAAAGGAAGTCTTGCCTCATCAGTGTTTTATAATTCATTGGATGTGGGGGCTGTCAACAAACATGGATCAGGGTAATCTGGAAGATATTATATAGTCGAGCTTTCAACAAAATCTTTACCAGAATCTCTTGAGTAAACTTAGAAGTCCTGGGATAAGGGGGGGGGCTATCCTCTTACAGATCAGTAACTGGCTGAAGAACAAAAAGCAGAGGGTAGCAATAAATGAGCAATTTTCAAAATGGAGGGAACTAAGAAGTCCCCCTATGCCAAAGATCTATATTGGGGCTATTTCATTATGATCAGGGAGGAATATGCTTCAAGTTTTCTAAGTTTGCAAATGATGTCAAATTATTCAGATTGTGGAAATGCAAAGGCAGATTACTAAGGATTATTCAGAGAGCTCTCTACATATTGGATTAGGGCAGCAAAATGGCAAACAGGTTTCAACAGAATAAGTGTAGAGTGGTGCACGCTTAACATCAACCCAACTATATATACCCTTATATGATTTGAAACATTGTGATTATGCAAGATATGATGTGGTTGTAGTAGATAGTTCAATGAAAGCATCAACAAATTCCACATCAGCGGAAGATAGGCAGAATTACTAGGAAAGGACAGAAAGCAAGACTGCCAGTGTCATAATAACCTTATATAATTGTATGGTGTTGTTGCATTTAAAATCTATTATACAACTCTAGTCTTGTATATGATAAAAAATATACAGATTTACGCAGAAGTTTGCCAGGTGCATAAAAGGGTAAGCAAATGATCAAGGGTGTTGAGACACCTTCTGTATGAGGCGCTGGGGCTTTTCAGTTTAGATAACAAGGCAACTAAAAATGAGCATAAAAAAGTTTTAAGATAATGGACACTGTGAGGAAATCAGAAAGAGTTTTTTTCTTCTTCCTCTCACAATACTAGAACGCAGGGTCAGCTGATGAAATTAATTCACAGCAAATTCAGGACACACCAAGGAAAATACTTCCTCATAATAAACTTAAGGAACTCATTGCCATAAGATGTGATGGTGACCAGTTGGCTTACCCTCCCTTAATCTGTTTCATTCTCTTTTAAAGCAGGCTATGTCTATAAATGACTAAGGGGACCTTGCATGTTAAGAAATAACTCTTGAAAAGCGGTTGCTGGGCAGAGGTTATTGCTCTCTACCCTTCTTGTGGACTTTCCAGCTGACTACTGTTGGAAACAAGATGCTAGATGAGATGGTCCCTTGGTCTGAATCCGCTTGTGTCCGAGTAGTGTAACTGAAGTCAATGAAATAAGGAGTTTGGGCTTGTGGCCTGAAACTCTTTCCACGTGATCAAGCATGCAGAATCCAAGTTATGCTCTAAACATTTTGCCTATGGATACAATTAAGAAAACAGAGACAGAGGAAAAATCACGCCATATAGCCCCCAAATGGGACAAGCTAATAAAGATCAAATGTATCCTGTTCAAAGCTTTATAGGCAAGAACTTACTTTTTCACTACAGAAGGCTTTTACATTGTGTCTTTCAGAACCCCCATCAAAAATCACCCAGCCGACCACAAGTAATATACAAGACATTTCTGCATGTGGAAGGGGCACTTTCTGACTCTAGAAAACACACCACACAAATTTTGCCTATTCAAACTAGTTAGCTTTTCTGGAGAAACGAGAGCTCTTGCTTCCAAACACTGATGTTTGTGGCAACGTTTATATCTAAAACTAAAACAGGTAAAATACAGCTTTTCACTGTGGATAGCCCTTAGCTTAAAGTGACACGAGAAAGGGGAAACCATACATAAAGAATAATTATTATTATCCACAAGTGCAGCACTACCAACGTGTGAGGCTGCTCATTACTACGATAAAACGTTCAGGTTGCCACTTCGAAGAAAGATCTGCCTAAATAACAATAATAACTAATAAAGTTATTATTTATATCCCACCCATCTGACTGGGTTTCCCCCAGCCACTCTGGGCAGCTTCCAGCAAAATATAAAAACAAAATAAAACGTCAAACGTCAAAAACTTCCCAAGTTTTTAAAGTTGCCTAAGAGAGGGAAAGCAATAAACATTTCTCGCAGATATAACGACAGTATAACAGAAACATTGCAAATGCGTCTATCTGCAGTACTCACCATGCAAGAGCAGGGCTAGGAACAGGTATCTCACCAGGCTGCAGCAGAAGCAGGACATTTCCAGCTCTCCAGCGGCTTCCCCGTCCAAGCCTCTCACTTTTCCTTCCGCCTCTTTCTTCCTTTTATCCTCCGGCGCTTTCTTCCTCTCCCTCAACACTTTCTTCTCCGGGAAGCTTTGTGCCTCCCTTGCAATGCCAATAATCCCCCAACCCCCGCCACACACGCACACAAAATCCTTGTGCGGGAAGAAGATGACGGGCGGGCTGGAGAGCCTCTTCTGGGCACCCACCTGGCGGAATCAGAAGCCCCGCTCTCTCTTCGGGGCCAGCGACACGAGCAGGAGGAGGCAGCCAAGTCCCAGCTCCTCGCGCGGCGGCGGCGGCGGCGGCTTCTGCCCGAGGCTGAACTCCACGCGCTCCCCCTCCTGCGCGGAGGGCTTTCAATACAAGGCGGCGAGCCCCATGCCGGGCGCCCCGAAGGACTCTGGGCGCGCGCAGAGAGGCGTCTGGGGCTCCTCAGGCGCCTTCTCTGCCCTCTGCAACCTCTCTGGTGGTCGCTGTTTCCCTGCCGGCTTCTCCTCCGCGGCTTTTTCTCCTCCTCACTGAGCTGTTGCTGCTGCTGCTGCTGCTGCAGAAACTCCCCTTCATATTTCCCCTTCCAGCGGGCAGAGGAGAAGGAGGAGGGGTCGGGGAGGGGCGCTGCTCGCCTCCGGATCCCGAAATCGGACACCCTCGACTTGAAAGGAGACTACAAAGGGCTGGGAGATATGCGGAGGGGGAGGATTGCGCCGTTCCCGCCCAGGGCGCGGTCCCCGCCTCTGCCCTTCCCCTCAGTCATGGGTACCAAGCGAGTCAGATGGCCCGGGCTGAGGGGGGAAAAGTCGGGACTCATCAAAGAGCTTCGTTTATCAGGCGCCTCAGCAGAGGCGGCCCGGCAGATCAAAGAGCGGGAAATCCCAAAGAGCGGCGGTTGTGTCAGTCGCTGTTGTCGGCTTCGTTTGGCAGGGAAGGAGCTGCTCCTAAGTGTGGCGAAGCCTGCCGTGCTCCACGCACATCACTCCCTGGGTTCTAGAGATTTCCCACTCGGGTTGCACAGATGATTTGTGATTTAAGGGGCTATTCCTTAAAGGGCGGTGCATCCTTAAGGCCTCTTCACCCAAGGAAAACTCGTGTGTGTGTGTGTGTGCATGTGTGCTCCCCTCATAATGATGCATGCAGTACCTACCACAGGTAACCACAACCAATTAAGGATTTATTTGGTTTTATTTGTATAATACAAGCAGTGTTCATTCCAGTGTTGACTCTGTAAGACACCAGCTATCCCCACCTGCTACTTTGGATACACTTCAGAATACAAACTGTTGGTTATATCTGAAAATCTGTTTCTGGCAGCAAGGGCCGGCCTGCTCATTAGGCAAGGACAGGGCAGCCCATGGGTGAGTAGAGTTTTTTAAAAAAAGTGACGGACCCCTGGATGGTTAAGTTCAGTCAAAGGTGACTATGGGGTTGCTGCGCTCATCTCACTACAGGCCGAGGGAGTCAGTGTTTGTCCACAGGCAGCTTTCTGGGTGATGTGGCCAACATGACGAAACCACTTCTGGCACAACTGAACACCGTGAAGGAAGCCAGAGCGCATGGAATCACTGTTTACCTTCCAGTCGCAGTGGTAACTATTTATCTACTTGCACTGGTGTTGTTTTCAAACTGCTAGGTTGGCAGAAGCTGGGACAGAGCAATCCCCGTTGAGGGGATTTGAACCGCCAACCTTCTGATCAGCAAGCCCAAGAGGGTCAGTAGTTTAGACCACAGTGCCACCCGCTCCCCTCAGTGCATCTCCACAAGATGAGGAATTTCTTGCTAGAGCAGTGGGCTGTGCTGGAACAGTGATGGGGAAGGGTGGTGGAGCAAGAGGAATAAGGACAGTAGTTGTAAACTAAACCTCAGAACACTCTGATTTGGCAGTGGATTGTACAGTGTACAGAACAATTTCTGCCACTCCCCAGAGGAGGAAGAGATATGTGTTTGTGGTAGGTGACTCTCTACTGAGCGGAACAGAGGCAGCAGTGTGTGGAGGTAACAATATGAAAAGGTTTCTTCAGCAATGTTTGAAGCAAGAAGAGGACAAGCAAGTAGTAAGCCCTCTGTGTGGAGAAGACAGAAATGCTATTGAGTGACAGAAGGAGGAACTGCTCACCACCCACTTTGCCTCTGTCTTCACCCAAAAGGAAGCAGTGCCCAACCTGGTGATAGCAGAATAAGTGATGCAAGGTGGGAGCTGCAACCCAAGGTAGGAAAAGAGATAGTAAGGGAACACCTAGCTACTTTACATTAATTCTAATCTCCAAGGCCTGCACCCAAGGGTAGTAAAGGAGCTTGCGGGTGTAATCTCAGAGTTTCTGACTATAATCTTAGACAATTCATATATAGTGGTACCTCTGGTTACGTACTTAATTCATTCCGGAGGTCCGTTCTTAACCTGAAACTATTCTTAACCTGAAGCACCACTTTAGCTAATGGGGCCTCCCTCTGCTGCTGCACCGCTGCCGCACGATTTCTGTTCTCATCCTGAAGCAAAGTTCTTAACTCAAGGTATTATTTCTGTGTTAGCGGAGTCTGTAACCTGAAGCGTATGTAACCCGAGGTACCACTGTATATTTTATATATATATGGAAGTTTTCAGTAGAAAAATAAATTGGAAAAGGTGGAGAGAATTCAAAACAAAACAAAAGTGCATGAAACTGGTACAGTACAATATGTGGGTATATAGGCAGCATGATTATTCTAATGAGTATAAAATTATCAACAGGTCATTATGCTTTTTATAAATGCACTCTAAATATCATTATATTTTTCCATACACAACCTACAACTTAAAGCAATCCATTGGTATGTTGCAAGAGTAGTCTTCTATCCATTGTTCAAAGGGGGGCAGGGTATTGATGTATCAATATCAGTCTTTTAGCAGGAGTAAGCGCGCAAACTGCCCATTTATGTTGACCCACTATCAAACCACATATAGTTGGTATGTGGTGTAGGATAATATTATCATCTGACAATTTTAAATCCCCCCAAGTAATTTTTATACATGTAAATGCTGCAGACATACTGTATCTTGATTTTAGTGAGGCTTTTGACAAACTCCACCATTATATTCTTACAGAGAAGCTGGTAAAATTGGGCTGGACAAGGTAACTCTTAGGTGGATTTGTAGTTGGTTGACTGACTGAACTCAAAGGGTGCTTCCTTGTCATGTTGGAAAAAAGTGACAAGTGGGGTGCTGGGCGCATTGTTGTTCAGTGTCTTTATAAATGATTTGGATGAAGGAATTAAGGGGTGTCCATCAAATTTTCAGATGACACCAAACTGGGAGAGGTAGCTAATCAGCAGAAGACAAAATTGGAATTCAAGATGCCGTTAACAGATGGGAGAATTGGGGCCAAACTAAACAAAATTGAATTTCAATAGGAACAAACGCAAGGTTCTAAAGTTAAGCAAGAAGAACCAATTATAAGATGGGGGACATCTGGTTTGTCAATAGTACATGTGAAAAGGATTGAGGGTAGACTAAAAGCTTAACATGAGTCAACAGTGTCATGCAGCAGCAGAAAAAAGCTAAAGCTATTCTTGACTGCATGAAGAGAAGTATAGTGTTCTGATGAAGGGAAGTCATAGTACTGCTTTAGTCTACCTTGGTCAGACCGCACCTAGAGTGCTGTGTCCAGTTCTGGGCACCACAGGTTTTTTTTAAAAAAAATAATGTTTATTAAAGATTTTCTTGGTGTACAAAAGTATGTGCATTGTCTCCTTTTCAGGTTGTGAAGTCTTTTCTACAGATCAGTTACATTTGTTATGAAATGTTAGTGTTGAGTACAGTGTAAGGTTGAAGAAAAAGAGTGGGGGAGAGGAGGGGTGGTGAAATTTATATTCTTTTTCATAGTGTACATGTGGGGTTTTGTGTTGACTTCAGCTGGGTAGGTTCTCTTTCTATTCACTTGCTACATTTCCTTGGTAGTGAGAGGGATTGGGGCGCAGGTTGACGTTGGTTGTCTGTGGTTGTCTGCAGTGAGGTTTGTTAGCATGTGTGAGGTGGGGAGGGCTTGTTGAGTCACATAAGCCAGATTGATTTGTATGCCGGGTTCTTGCTGTTGGCTTCTTGGGCTGTGTTTGTGACAAAGGGGAGCCATACTGGGATGAAGGCATTCTCTTCTGTTTGTCCCCATGTCAGTTTCATTTTATTGGTTAGCTTTTCTAGTAAGGCTGCTTTCCCATGTGATTTGGTTTCAGTGGTTGGGAACCAAAATTTAAGAATGTTATTGACAATGTAGAACATCTGCAGAGGACGGCAACCAAAATGATCAAGGGTCTTGATAGGAATGGTTGAGGGAGTTGGGTATGTTTATCCTTGTAAAGAGGAGACTGAGAGGAGATCTGATAGTCATCTTCAAATATTTAAAAGCTGTCACGTGGAAGATGGAGCAAGCTTGCTTGCTTCTGCTCTAGAGTGTAGGACCTGAACCAATGGAGTCAAGTTATAAGAAAGGAGATTCTAAGTATACCTCAGAATGCAGTCAACAAATCTTCCCTTGCACGCCTATGTGGAGGAATTCCTCTACTACCCCTGTGTCACAAACAGGAAGTCTAAAGAATGTAGTCCACCCAATTGTATTGGTGTTCTAAGACACCACCCTGTGAACCGCCCTGAGACCTTCAAGTATAGGGTGGTATAGAAATTAAATAAATAAATAATAAGACATGAGAATACATAGTTCTGGTATGAGACCAGAATAACTGTGCACGATACAAGTTGCAATGTTGGGCACAGAATTGTTTTACACCGCATGGCATGTTCTTCTGAAGTTCAGAACTAAAAGTGGGACACGGTTTTCCAGTCAGGTATACTGTGTGTTGTTAAGAAAGTTCTGTGTTACAATGTTTGTGAGCCCCTGATCTTGAGGAACCATTTTTCTCATCTGGCAAGATTCCTTTTTGCTAAATAATCAAGAAGCAGAACTTAATTGTGTTAAAATAACTATCTCCTCAGTAGAAAAAAAATTTAAAAAAATTGTCCAGTAGCACCTTAGAGACCAACTAAGTTTGTTCTGGGTATAAGCTTTTGTGTGCATGTATTCTTCAGATACACTGAAATAGAAGTCACCAGACCCTTATATATAGTGGCAGGGTTGGGGGTTTTTCTCAAAAGGGTACTGGGAGATTACATATGCTAAAGCTATCTTTGGTCATCTGCATACTATCCCTTGCTTTTTCCTGTAGGAGTAATTGCAGTCATTAACAGCCGTCAATAGGTTTACCATACCCATTGAGTCAATCACCCATCTCTTTCTACCCTTCATGTGCATGCACATGAAAGCTTATAACCAGAACAAACTTAGTTGGTCTCTAAGGTGCTACTGGACTATTTTTATTATTATTTTATTTATTTAGACTGCATCAGATCAACATAGCTACTTGCCTGAATCTATCTCCTCAGTACTTAGCCATGTATAATAGGTTCCACAGTCTAGAGAAAAATTCCTACAGAAATAGGAAGCAGTGGAACACAACGTGAGTGAAAGCCTCTGCCACCACCAGTCCAAACTGCTGACCACTTTGAAGTTCAGCATTGCATTCTTTGTTTCACCCAGCATAGAATTGTATCTTAGAGTTCAAGAGCGCATTCAGTCTGGAAACTTAATGTATAGACTTGGGAACAAATAACCATTAAATTTAATAAAAGTCTCACTAAGGAATCTTTTTAATTAAAACCAAATGACATAACTGTGCAAAACAAGACTGAGCAGATAAATCAACAGCCTAAATCTGTTTCATTCCAC